TCCGAGGGATGTTCGAAACAGGGGGCCAGCCTGCCCATCCCAAGGGGTGTACTAAACAAACGACCACCCAACCCGAAGGCCTTAGTCATGGTGGAATTTGTCTTCAGGCACTTGCCGACCCCGGGGGGGCCTTCCGAAATAAGCGACCACCCAGCCTGGAGGCCTTAGTCATGGTGGATTTTTTCTTCACACTTGCCCACCCATCCGAGGGATGTTCAAAACAGGCGATCAACCTGCCCATCCCAAAGGGTGTTCTGAAAACAAGCGCAGGATCAGGGGTGTTCCGAAAACGAGAGACTTTTTTCTTCACTCGAACGACCTGCCACTGAGGTCGAAGAAGAAACACCAGATACAACAAGATAGGATAGTAATCGATTATTTCCGTTAGTGTCTCAATTGTATAATTACATCGAACGAGATAATAATAGGAAATATTCAATGTATTCGACCTCCCTTTCCAGGTTGTGCATGATGGCCTGTGCTCAAATTTCTCGACCTGCCACTGAGGTCGAAAAAGAAAAGATCGAACACAATAAGATATAATATCACCCGATTATTTTGTTAGTCATCCAAATAATAATCCCAACCATGTCCATGGACAAATCAGATAATCACTCGATCAAATAAAATATCCATAAATAAATCCAAGTAATTCCACGAACAAATCAAATAATATCTCGAGCAAATCGAATAATTCTCCTCGAACGTATTGAGTAATGCTCCACACATAAGTCAAATAATCTTCACGAAAAAATCGCATAAGCCTCATGAATTAATTAATTAAATAATGATTCTCGATCAATTCAAATAATGTGTCCACGAATGAATTAGATGTCTCCATCATCGAACCCATTTATCAATCAATTTTCACCCATTTAAATCCCAAGTCTCCAAATTTTTCCATTTAAATTGATAATTTATCCCATTTTATCAATTTAAAAATCCTTCGCTCCTTATTTAAAAGAACCACATACCTTCATCACGAGAATTGTATCTCAAATTATCTTACCGTCCACGTCGGATCAGCCCGGGTTAGTTTTGAGCACAAAATAAGGCTGCTTGACCAAATTAGTATCATTCTGGGCCATTATAGGCTTTTGGGCCGCGGGTAGCACTGATGGACCGCGCATTTGGGGTGCTGAAAGGAGGTAGAGGAAGTGGGTCGTCGCGGGCTGCAATGCGGTCTCGACTTTCGGTTTTCGACCTCCGCGGTCTCGACTTTCGGTTTTCGACCTCTGCGGTCTTGACTCTCGGTTTTCTACCTCAGCGGTCTCGAGTCTCGGTTTTTGACCTCCGCGGTCTCGACTCTCGGTTTTCGACCTCCGCGGTCTCGACTTTCAGTTTTCGACCTCTGCAGTCTTGACTCTCGGTTTTCGACCTCAACGGTCTCGACTCTCAGTTTTCGACCTCCGCGGTCTCGACTCTCGGTTTTCGACCTCAGCGGTC